GGAATACTCGGTAGATATCTGTTAAGTCCATTTGATATATGGTTTTGTTTAATTCAGATGTCTCTCTGTTAAGTCTCTGGCCTGTTGACCCATCTAATGGAGATAGTGGCGTATTGAAGTCCCCTACTATTAATGATAAAGGGATATGGGTAATGAAGCTTTCCCAAAGTTGTTTGGTCAAAGCTTGTTTGAAAGAGAAGTAGTGGAGTTGCCTAGTGAGAGAGAAAGAAAGCAACATTGCCCAGTGGAAGTCTGTGCGATGTGCATGTGGGAATCCAGGTATCCAGAGAACATAAACAGTAGCTCTGACATCCAAGGGCACTGGAGGTCAGGAGAGTGTGGGAATCATACATTTGGAGTAAAAGCAACTTGAATATTGGGTTTAGTCTCCACTAACACCTTAATTTGAAAACCTCCTCATGTAATATCCTTTCCATTGAAGTTTTACACATTGTGAGAATTTAATTAAAATTATACAACATGTAGAACAGTGACTGGCACATACAAAGCACACACAACTCTGAAGATTCCAAAATCCAATTTTCACTGTGACGAGAGGTGATCAACAACTCAGGAATCTAAGCAGAATGTGTCTCTACCATGGGTTTCTATTCTCTGGAAATACATACGGAAATATTACAATTAAAAAAAATCTTTATTTATTTTTGTTTTTATTTATAAGAATTTTATGCCTGCAAATACGTAAGTGCACCTGTGTTGTACATTTATTGCAGAGGCTAGAAGAGGGCATTGGATTCTCTGGAAATTGAGTTACAGATGAATGTTAGCCACCATGTTGGTGCTGGGATTCAAACCTCGGTCTTCTGAGAGAGCAGTCAGTGCTCTTAACTACTGAGCCATCTCTCCAGTACCCCCAAATTTAATTTGTTCCAGTAATTTGTAAAAGTGGTTGAAAATTTTCAACATGATGGGAAACCTTTTTGATGTAACTTTATCTTCAAACTCCAACTTGAAAAATACACTAAGAATCCACTTACCATTGATCTCAGATGAAATGTCTTGGACATATATTTTATTACTGTGATGATATTGATGATTAGTTCAAAAGGCAAAAAGCAGGGCTGGAGGTTTTCCCAGCACTTGGCATGCATGTATAAGCCCTTGGCCCAATCCCCAACACCACTATAAGTATAAAAGAACAACAAATACAAAAACAAAATAAAAGAGAAGAATTTGCTATAAATGAACTCAAATAAAGTAAATCATTATTGGAGACTTATTGAAGCCTTTCTGAAAGTAACAATGTGTGCAATATTCATGAATTTACTTTATCATGAGATTCTTTTCTTTATCAGATAGGTCAGGTCGTTATAATTTCTCAGTATTTTGGGAAGTGTCAGACAGCATGGTCATATTACCAACTGTACTTGAATGCATCTGTCTCTGCACTTCTTTCTTTACATGGTTCATTTTGTCTTATGTGTATACAGCATTAGGCACACAAAAGTTAAGCCACTAGAGGAAAGAGAAATGTTTGATTATCTTATTGTTTTACTGCTGCTTGCTTTCTTTAGCACTATCTTATTAAACTTATAATCTTTCCGGTATTGTCTATTTTGAAGCTATTTTTAAAAGAAAGGACTAATTAAAGGATAATATCCTTTTATTTGGTTCCCATCCTAATTCCTGAAACCAAGGACTCACTAATCATAGTTAGCAATTTATAAATGAATGCCCCATATATATTTACCTATTGATTTATCCATTTGAAACTTTAGAAATCAGACAAAGTTTGCTATCGCTCCTCTACAGTAATCCTAGTAAATATTATGCATAACTCTAATCCCATAAGGAGATTTAAGGTACCTTTGCTTTTATTGACTAGTTCTTTTTCTGCTCTTTTCAGAAAAATAAATAAATAAAAGAATGAAAAGCACGCAGCAAGCACACAGGCAGGAATGACCTAATTCTAAAATGCTTATATGCATGTTCACTCATAAATTCGTTAAAGAAATGAATGTTGTTTTTGACTTGTCTGCCCATTGTGTCTGTCTGTGGTGCGCATTATTTCAATACTATTTTGGATTGATTGCTGACAGTGGCTTCATTCATTATGCATGTGAGGAGAAGGTCTCAGAAACATAATTTTTCAGTTTGACTCCATGAATATACAAGAAGGCTAGAACTTCTTTGTGCTGATAATCAGAAAACAAATGTCTCATTACCATGTTTAAAGTACAAATGAGTTATAAGAATTTGTACTACATCGATAGTTATCAGTACCTTCTTTTGAAGTTTAGTTTTAAGAAAATATAAATTCAAGAAATGAGCTACTGTGTAGTCATTAGCCATAGGTATTCCAGAATGAAAAAACATAATGCTAGAATTATTTCACTGTTATTTTATTCATGGATAAACATTGCAAATGCAAACATAAAAATCCAGTAAAATAAGAAGAGTTCTCTACTTCGCTTGTTTACTTCATGTAGAAACATCGTTATATCCTACTTTTCTGTTTATGCTCTCCTATCGTAATCTCATTTGCTCTGTGATTGAATTATAACTACTGTTCTAAATAATCTGATTCTCCAAATTCACTAATGTAGTGAAATAACAAACTAAGAGAGCACTATAGTAAAGATGAGATCAAGGTGTTAGACACATTGCTTAAGCCTGTCAGACTGCGTACGTGGCATTTGGAGATTCAACTTTAAAAGAGTGACCCTGGGACTGGGGAGAAGGCTCATTGATTAAGAGCACTGGCTTCTCTGGCAGAGGACCTGGGTTCAATTCCCAAGACACACATGACATCAAACACAAATTCCGTAATAAGTTCCAGAGGATCCTACACCTCTTTCTGGCCTCCTTGGGTACCAGCACTCATTCAGTGCACTTGCATACATTTAGGCAAAAAAACTCATACTCATAAAATTACAATAAAGTAAGTCTTAAAAACAAAAGGAATTTGTTTTGTTATATCCATTGTATTTCTGTTTCTTTGTATCCATTTATTGCTAATTACTTTAACATAATCTGTAAGAAACCATTTAGAGGGCAATGTAAAAAGTATAATGATTTTTTTTTTCATGTCAGACAGGTAATGTGCCAATGCATAATAAGGTTTGTGGGCAGCACGTGTCATGCAACCCCATGAACACACAATCATCATGCTTATGAGGCCCCAAAAGGATCAGATTATAATAAACTCTATGTACACTTGAACCTTTATGATTCTATCACATTTCACTAAGTAGTAAGTTGGTACTCACTAGCATTGGCGTCAAGGCCATTGGTACTGAGTAGCAATTCGATACTAAATTGCATGCAAGGTGTCAGTAACATATGACTTAAACACATTCTATAAATCTTCAAAACAATAGCCATTACTATTATTATAATTCATCTTATGCTTAATGAATGGAGGATAGTTCATACAAATTATTTTAAAAAGTCATCATAAGCCCGTTAAATAGTTTTATTTTAAAGGTTTCAAATCAGCTATATGTGTGCTTTATTGTTTAATTTCCTCATCTAAAACAGCAATATAATAACCCACCCACAGAAAAAATAAACAGATGAAAAAGTAGGTAAATCAAACTATTTTGTAATTTAAAGAAAAATACATAAATGAAAAATCATATTAAAAATAAGAAAATGCTTAAAAAAGACAACTTTAATCCCAGCATTCAGGAGGCAGAGGCAGCTGAATCAAGGCCAGCCTGGTCTACATATTACATAGCAAGTTCCAGATTTGCTGGGGCTACATCCTTTCCTAATACAAAGGTAAATATTTTCTAATTAACATTATTGTTGACTTTAGCCTAATGATTTGGCGGGGGCGGGGAGTGTATTTATTCTTGTAAAAAAAATACTAACAGATACCTCTTCAAGTAATATAATGGCTAGTTTTCCACCAAGATTTAGCTTCTGAAAATTTACCAGAAAAAGGGAAATCACTACAGCTAAATATAAATAATCAAACATAAGCACGCCTATCAACATTAGTCATAATAATAATATATCCAAAAGAAAACTAAGCATCTTGTTCTAGTTTGTTTCTCTGTTGCTGTGACAAAATACTCTAACCAACACCAACTTGGGGAGGAAAGGATTTATTTAGCTTAAATCTTCCAGGTCACAGTTCATCACTGAGAAAGCCCAAGGTAGGAACTCTGGCAGGCACCTGCAGGCCCGAGCCGACTCACAGGCTATGGAGGAACACTGCTTACTTGCTTGTACCCCTGGCACATGCTCAACCTGCCACATAACTCAGTAATCAAGAAAATGCCCCTATGATATGGTCACAGACCAGTCCAATGGAGGCAACTTCCAACTGATGTGCCCTCTACCCAGGTGTGTCAAGTTGACGGTAAAGCTATCCAGCACACATCTTAAAATATGACCACCCCAAGAACCTTCGTGGGAAGAGCACTTGCTGTGAAAGCAGGAGGACCTGAGTTCAAATCTCCAGCACTCAGGTAAAATGCCTAGCCCAGCAATCCATATCTGTAACCACAGTATTGAGTGGCAGAAACAAGCAGGTGTCTGGAGCCTGTTGGCCAGAGAGCCTTGAAAAAAAATGGCAAGTTTCAGGCGTAGTGAGAGACTCTCTTAAGACAATAAGTCATAGAGCAATCATTATAAGACACCTGATCAGCACCTCTGACCTCTGTGTGTATATGCAGGGGAATACACTCACATCTTCATGTGTACAAAACACACACACACATGCATGAACACACATGCATGCACACATACACATGCACACACAGAAATATGCTAAAAATAAAATCTTTATGAATGAAGGTTAGACTTAGTTAATGTATTTTAAAATATAGAATATGAAAATAATGCTGACCACGCCCAAGGATAAATCATAACCATAGCTGTTCCCCAGGGTCTGCTTCTCTCTTGGATTGTTCATACTGGGATACTGCACTTGAAAAGTTGCAAGGATACTCAAGCATTCCTGTGAAGCTACCTACGTGGATGAGATGTAAGACTGTCCATCAACAATGGATACAAACTTGTGATCCATGTGAGGAAGGAATCTTTGAAAGCAAATTCTCCTGTCCAGTTCAACTGGCTGTTGAATATAGCTATGGATCCTTAACTTCAGCCTCTTGAGACTCTGAGTCCAAACTGCCAAACTGCACCTCCACCCTGGAATTCTTGACCACTACTAAGTGTGAGATATTTATTGTCATTTAAGTCAACAAATTCTAAAACAAACAAACAAAAAACAAAAAACAAAAAACATTAAGAAGCAGTAGGTAAGTAACAACAGTATCAAAACATCTAAAATCTAGTGATTAGGATCTGTATTTTGATACAATGTGTTCTTGATATATGTCAGGATCATCTCCATTGTAGAATCCTAAAAAGAATCCAAAGAATGTGAAATATAGGTGACTTGATGATCTATAGGTAAAAATAAATCTTGTTTTAAGACATGTACAACAGCAACATTATGGTTTTGAGATAAAACTATTTCTAAATCATTTGTTACTGCCATGATTTATATTGCCATGTATTCATTATATAAAGTACTGTTTCATAAAGACAATTTATTTTAAAAATATCACATACTTTAACCATATTCACTCCAATCTCTCCCCCCCCCACCCCCCACACCTTTCTTCTTGTCTCTAGCTAGTTCATACCCTTCCCTGGTCTCCTGGTCTCCCTCACCTTTCTTGTCATTTACATACAAATGGTTTGTGTGTGTGTCTGTCTGTGTGTGTCTGTGTATGTCTGTGTGTGTTGTCCTAGTTTTGCTTCCTGTTGCTGTGGTAAAATATCCTCAGGAAAGCAGCTATCAGAGAGAAACGTGTCTTGGGCTTGCCATTTCAAGTCACAGCCCATCACTGTAGGAATGTTAAAGCTACAGAACTTTGAAGGAGCTAGCCACATCCATAGAGCATAAAGAAGAGGAAGTCATGCATGTTTACTGGTGCTCAGTACCCTCTCTACACCTAAAAAGTCCAGGATCCTGTGCTGTGGATTCGAGGATCCTAGAGCATGCTGGCACCCATTGTGGGCTGGGCCTTTACTCATCCATTAAAACAATCAAGGCAATATCTCCTCAAGATGTCTGAAGGACAACCTAATCTAGATAACCCTTTAGTGGGAGTTTCTTCTCAGGTGATTCTGGAGTGTGGCAGGTTGAGAAAACTAATCCTCACATATATGGACAAACAATTCTGAGTCTTGCAAATCAGAGAAACCATGAAATTTGCTTTTCTGTATCGGCTTATTTAATTAAATATGATGGTTTCAAGTTACATGAATTTTGCAGTGAGTGACATAAGATCATTCTTCTTTATGGCTAAATTAACTTCCTTTACACACATGCACACACACACACACACACACACACACACATTTTCTTCATGCATTCAACTGCCAAATACTTGAGCTGATTCTAACGCTATAGACTTGATATGTTGGTATCACTTAACAGAGCTTTAATGTTTGAACTCTTTTGTGAGAATTTCTTTACACTTATTCAAAATTTATGGGAATTGGTCAAATTATATATGTGGTACAAAGGAGACTGAGATCGAGGAGAATTGTTAAATAAGTAAATGGATAATTATCATCCCAAATTCCAAGTCTTCATTTTGAAAATTGCTTTTCTCCTCATGCCCTGAGCTCTGTTTGTGGCATCTCCAGTTTCTTAGGAGGATTTCAGTTTAAAAATAGCAACAAAGAGAAAAGGAGCAAAACACTTACATAAGCATTAAACGAGCCAGATTCAATCCCTTCCGATTTTGCGCTTCATTATCTAATCCTCTCTTCTCTTTCTGTACACTCACCACCAGCAATTTCAATCACATTTGGACTCCTGAGAACGCCTATCCTATCTGTCCCTTCCTGTGACTCTAAGATGTGACCCAAATAACTCTGCATGCTTAGTCCAGCCGAAGCCATTTGGAATATCTCAATGTGACTTTAGCAAGGGTATTAGAGGAAATCCAAAGCAGGTAGATAAGCACAATGCAAAACAAAATCATAAATAGTTGCAAACTTTCATGCAAATGTGGTTACATTATAGGTTAATGCATATAGTCTGTCTTTTTGGTTTAATATGTTGAATTATTTTTCCTTTCCATTTTTAATTTTTAATTTCCAGGCTGAAGAGAAGGGGAATTTTACTTAAAAAAACACAGTTTCTTTGATTTTTTTTGAGAATTTCATATAATGTAGTTTGATCACATTCAGACCTCCTCACCCATCTCCAACCTCACCTGGCTACCACACCTAACTTCATGTCTTTTCTTATTATTTATCTTTTTTAATGCATATCAAGTCCAATCTGTGCTACACAATTATCTTAGATGTGGGTCTGTCCCATAGAGTCTGTTCAACCTATAAGGTGTCACTCCAGTAAACAAAACTGACTCCCCCTCTCCAAGTGGCTATCAATTGCTAATATTTCCTCAGCTAAGAATGGGTCTTATTGCCCACCTGCTCCCCATGCATGTTGGGGTTTGGTATGGCTTTGTCTTGCATAGGTCTTGTGCATGCTATGACAAGTGCTGTGGTCTCATATGTGCAACTGCCCAGTGGTGTTCAGACAGCATGGTTTCATTGTATTCATTCACCACCTCTAGTTTTATGGTCTTTCTGCTCCCTCTTCCACAATGATCCCTGAGCCATGGGTGGATAAGGTGGGATATAGTTGTTCTCTTTAGGGCTGAGCACTCTGCAGTCTCTTTTTCTCTGCGTGTTGACAAGTTCAATACTATATTATAGAGCAGAGTAAGCAGAGTCAGCTTAATACCGTCTGTAGAGCAGAGTAATAGTAGTAGGTTCTCCCCTATGGCCTGTGACCCGTGTTAGACCTGTTAGCGGAGCCAGGTATGGGCTCATCTTATGAAGTAGACATTAAATCTAATCAGAAGGTGACTGATTCCTCTCATAACATTCATGCAACTATTGTCTTTCCATGCCAGTTGTTATTGCAATTTGAAGATTTCAAAGCTGGGTAAGGTTGATGATTACCTTTCTCTTCTAATAGCATGCATCACAGCTTATAGAACTATGATACCTAGCTAGTAGAGATGAAGTTTGAAGTCAGCACCATCTTGATTTCTCCTTGTTCTACAACTCAGTTATGTAGTATCTTTAAAAATAGGGTCTTATCATCAAGTTCTGGTGGGTGCCCAAGTGTATTGTCAACAACTCC